TCATGGTTCAGTTGGAAATGTGAGAATTGACAAGAGCGCAAGGTGGCGGGTGTAGAGATCCAGGCCATCTTGAAGACTTCCAGATCTCGTTGGGGACAGTTTTGTTGCTCGGTTTTGCTTTCGGGGAGCTTGGACCCTTGCACCCACTCCTGGAATGTTCTTGTCCATCCTAGGTGGCTGCTAGATTTGCGCTGTGGCTGGCCTTCTTCGGGTGCTGGACATCCTCGAAACCAGTCAGTCCGTGCTTTCATTTTCAGAGTCTCTGTAGAAGGAGTTTTAGTGAGACATGGAGCGATGCGGGCGCTGTAATTCAGTCAGATAAGCTCATAAGTCATAACAGGGTTTAAGAAGCACCTGAACCGCAAAACCCTATTCTGCACGGCCTCGGAACTTCTGGACAGTGTGGAAGGGGCGCTGGAGATACAAAGTTGGGCTATGCAACCCATTTAGAGTAGTTATGGTGTCCCCACGTAATACCCTAAGGCTCAAGGTTGTGTATTATCCTTGTCTCATCCCATCTCAAGTTTCACGACATAACATTAACTAGTAAAGCATATTAAGCATCAGGGGATAGGGGTGCTTGAGGCCAGGGAGAATGGACCAAGGGTTTTGAGCGAGGAGCAAATTGGCAGGGTATTCCTTCTGGAGCCTCTTGTGCTTGTAAGCTGAATGTAAATTTGGATGTTCAACACAGGCCACTTCCGTTGTGGTCTTAGTTGGGAGATTCCATTCTCCCAGCATGCGACACGTCCAACACATTGCTCAACAGCGTCGAATAGTTATATATATATATAACCCTACATATTACAGTAGTTTCCATTTTGTTTTCCATTATCCCAATATAACCCCTATATACCACTATATATTATAGTTATAATAGTTTCCATTTTATATATGACTTTACCTGCCGTGCCCGCACCGCTCCCCACATCCTGCCTCGGAGGTGGCCTTGCTCGTCAATGGATTCCCTAACCTCTTCGTATCTTGGGGTTCTATTGGGATAATGGAAAATAAAATAGAAACTACCATAATATATAGGGGTATATAGGGGTTATATTGGGATTATGGAGAATATGATGGGAACTACTATGATATATAGGGGGTATATAGGGGTTATATTGGGATAGTGGAAAGTAAAATGGAAATTGCTGTAGTATATTGGGGTTATATTCTGCTCGTTCAGTAATCCATACCGCTACTGCAGAAGCAGGGGCCGAGCATTTGGGTGGTACACTGTGATATGAGAGTGGAATGAATTCTCCAGAAGATACATACTAGGGCCTACAAAAGCCCTAGTTCTGGCGACCCATCAGGGCCATCTCTGCCGGGCTCTAGGCTTTGCTGCCTTTTTGCTCGCTGGATGCGTCGCAAGTTTCAGAATAATGCCAGGCACGCTTAGTTGGAATCTCCTGTTAGTCCTCATGTTTAAGTGAGCTATAGTCTCAACTCCTCAAACCCCAGGGTTCTATAGGGGAGTATTGTAGGTTTACTAAGGGGGATGCTAGGAATTTAGATTAGGGCTCACGTGGCGCAGGGTAGCAGCAAGGGTCCCAGCATTTTGAGATGCACCCAAGTGCATTCTCAATATCATGGTTCGCAGATCCGAATATCGATCCGGGGCTTGGCAGCTACAGACCCCCGAAAAGACGCGCGAAATAGGAAGGGTAAGGTGCCATCAAGCACCTTCAATCATCACAGAGTGTTAAGCATTTGTTGATCATTCGGGCGCGTTCAAACACCACGAACCCTGAATCCAAATCCCCGCTTCGGGTGCTCCCCGAACGAGATGAGACGCGTCCCTTTCAATCGCAGGGTTCGCTGTGATTGGCATGCCATGAAGACCCCTTGGCCGAAGCAATCCATAAAAAAGGGCATGGGCAGTATGGTCACTTTGCTCAAGGTTCAAACGTTTGGGGTCAAGGTTTTTCGGTCATTCCCGTCTGATTACACCACACTTGCTTCTAGCGATTCGGAGGGGAGCGTATTCCGGCGTCAAGGCGTCAAGGATCATTGTGCTCTGTTGGCTTCTTGTACATGTTGATAGGATCGAGCTTGAGGCCTGTTCAACCAGTTGCTCTCAATTCAAGTAGTTGATTTTTAGCTTTAATACTGCTGCGCCAGCACATCTGAGGCCCAGAGTCCACGAAAGCCCTTGGCCCATGACTCCAGTGTGTGTTGAGCCTGCAAAGATTGAGACTTATGTGGCAATATGGACCAAGGTCTAAATGTCTGAAGTACCATCACAGGGGACATATTTATAGTCGCCCTTAAGTAGATAAAATATGGCTTTGGGTATATTAGAATAAGATCCCCATATACCTCGTATTCTATCTACTTAAGAGGCACTGTAATTGAATATACTACTGGCGTAAACACGTAATTACAACCTTGCACCCGCTGGTCTGTATTGTTCCCTGATATGCAGCAGGTATAATCCAGCAATACGTTGGACAATCTTCAGTTGGAGCCTGAAGCCTCCATTACCCTGAGTGTGTTTTCTTGTAGCGAGGGGAACTGAATCCACAACAGGAGTGAGCTCTATACTGAGAAACCTCAGACGTTGCAAAGGGCCCATCAAGAGCAGAGATGCTTTGGATGTTCTCTCCGTGGAAATTTCCGAAGCCACTAGAGAAACCATTCAGACTACAGAATCATGTTACTGGGTTTTATGACACGAAAAATCTCGTCACTTCAGGCAGTTCCTCGTGAACGCTGCATCCCTGAGAGCGATGCCAGAGAATGGCAGCTGGTTGGTGTGCGAAACAAAGCCGGTCTTTCGTTCGTCTTTTATTGCTACGACATGTCAACTTGTCCAATTCGGAAAGGTTGGAGAAGAGTGTATTCAGCCCAGCCGAGCAATTCTTGCAAGAAGGGTGCTGGCTAGGGCGCCTACGGTATTCAACCATGCCGAGATGGAAATTCATGTTTTGGCCGTCTGCCATGCTTGGAGCTGTTGGAATTCGGGGGTTATATGAGAGTTTCTTCAAATTTTTAGAACCGCGACGACTGTACATTTGTGTGCTCTGTCCCCGTTGCCCTACTGTAAAAGAAGACCTCATCCATAGACTGCTCATACTTTGGATGTACACTTTAGGGCCCGTGACTTCGCATTTCGCACTCCTCAATCCCCTTATCCCAATAAGTTCGTGCTCTGGGACAGTACAAGGTTTCAGAACCACAGTGGGGGAAGCTGCAGGAAACGACTCATTCCCAGGAATTCCAAGTTGCCATACCGGCCACTGTCTGGGCTAAGTCGGCATAAAAAGTCTTGAGGCATGGGGGTTGACAAGTTTTTTCAGGTGTTTCATTTTTTTGGTATAATGGTATGTGCAGCGTTTCTGATTTCCGGGTCAGTTGTAGTACAAGGTTAGTGCCCAGTCTGTCATTACGGTCGTGATGTGGCCCTTTTTTTCAGATGCAGTATGGACCATCTGGCCAAAAGAAGGGCGATCTTGGCTTGGCCGGGCTGTTCTGGCTGTTTTGGGGAGGGCTGGAAAGTTGGGTTGGGAGAGCGGTGCCCTTCATCATCACGGCCATGTAGGCGCAGCCGGAAGCAAGCCAGCATACAAGAAGTGCGGCTGTCACACGCTTTGTGGATTCTTGTGGTTTCTGGCCCTCAAGGTTCAAATTCGCGGTCGCGAGTCAGTTTTAAAGTTTGGGCTCATGCGTGGTTGCGAAGGCTTTTGCTTGGAATTGCACATCAAATGCTGGCTGCTGGGCAGGCCGACTCTCAAATTCTATTTGGACCCTGCTGTTGTCAATGTTTCGCGAGCTTGTGGGGAGCGCGGTCGTGGGAAGCCGTCGTCTGTTTCCATGCCGCCACTGTTTCGGCTGCAGTACCAGCGGCACCATGTGTAGCAACCCGCCGAGTCCATAAGCCGGGGTCGCAAAGTACAAACTACACGTCAACCTTATAGGAAGACTTTCCAGCAACTTATATGCTCAACTTATTTGGAGTCATTTCGTCAAACGGTACAAATCAGAGCAAGGATATGTGCCGCGCAGGCAATCCAAGCACCTTGCCATGCTGTAACTACCCCGACCTGAGCTCGCAACTGTGTGTGACAAGAGTTGTCTTTGCCGGTCACCTTTTTATGGTTGTGTGCCGTCTCTGGACAGTTCTTGAGATGTACTGTTCAGTATTACGACATACCCATTTGGTAGGAACATGTCAGGTTGTCTAAGAATCTCAGCACAAAAGACCTTAGTTGGAACAATGGGCCTGTTGTAACTTGGTTTCACGGCAGTGCGCGCAATGGCGTGCCCGGGATGAGTTGCTGAAGGCTGTGGGTAGGGACAGCAGGATTGGCCCTGGGATTTCATTGAGCTTTATCAATCTGCCTGCTCGACTTCACACGAAAATGTCCCGAATGTTGAGGGAGCCAGCAATTATTGCCAACGTATAGTAGTTCATGATTGGGAAACTTCGCCATGAGTGTGGGGGACTACCATAATTGGTCTGTTGCATCATGAACTGGCTTTGGGGGTCCTTTGTGATGTTGGGTTTAGCTGGTACCTCACCGCTGTACAGGGATTGAAATCATTAGAAAGTGAAAGGCTTGTTCATTCATGTTGGAGGTTGATTGTTTACTTGCAACAGTACACCATTAAGTCTACCCAAACATTCAACAAGCTAGATGCTGTGTTTTTAGCCTGAGATTGCCTCATGTCGACTCCTGCTTGCAAAGCCTGCGCCAGCAGCATGTCGAGCATCGATCGCTGCATGTCAAGCATCCATCGCTTTCTTGAAAACCGAATTGCCATGATTGGGCATAGCTTTCTTGTGGTGCTCCTGAGCATATATGTGGAGGCTGTTATTGATACAGTTCATACAGTTGCCTTCGACACTTACACCCTAAAGCCCACAGAATTCCAACTGAAGCAATGATTTCCGGAGCCCGAAATGCTCAAACCCTAGATCTTTGAACCCCGAAATGTGGCTTGACAAATCGTCTTTGAGCCCTAGGCCCCTCACAAAGCCCTGGATTCTACTCCTGGAGGAGCGTGGGGCATGCGCAGCAGAGTTCATGCAGGGGCCTCCAGTGGCAGTGAGAGTTGTCTGGGCTTAGGGCATTTAAATGGCCTTGGGCCAGGATTTGGGGTTTGGTACCACCAGTTTTGGAGCCAAAGTTAGGGTTTGACGTGCTTTCACTCAAGATGGAAGTGCTTCAGAACCCTCGCCCAAATGCTTCAGGATGTTCATGACCAAGATACTGGTCCAAGAAATGTTGCCAGGATTTTCAAAAACATCATGCTACAAGTGCATTGAAGGCATAATTAGAGGAAGTCTTATGGGTACCTTCTCGGGCTTCTAAATGTCAATGCCCTTGGTGCCCGTACAGGCTGTATTTAAATTACCTTGCTGTCCTATAGCCTTGACATCCATTCCAATTGCGGCTGTAGGATTCCTAGAGGAGTTGTATCCAAAGCAGCATCAGGTGTATATATATATATATATTATCACAAAACCCTGAAAACACGTAGTGACCCTCAACCCAATACCCAACATACAGTACTGTACCTAATGCCCCCTTCAATCCCCACAGATGCATAATTATACGCAGACATAGCAAGCAGACATCAAAAAAACATTTGTACACATTTGTGTGTACACATGCAGTCATGCATGCAAGCATACAATGCAGACGTGGTAGTTTCCCAAAAAGGGGGCCCCCAATGTAGACCCAAAAATATTATAATCCTTATCATGGGGACCCCCGAAATGAAAGGTACACCAATTTTCGGGGACCCCCCCCCTCCCCCCCACATGTGTAAATTATGTATACATACACATGATACATGACTCCCACTCCGCAAGGCATTGCATCTTTCCAAGTTTCTAAAGGTCCAGCTGCTTGCTCGCTTAGAGAGGGCCCACTGTGCTGGCATGTAGGAGCGTGGAGAAATTAATGTGTACAGATTTATTTCTCCTGAAGCAACGCCTTGCAACTACCACCACAGAAGCTCAGGAACCTCATTTATGGCGTCTGCATGAAGATGTTACAGCACACAAGGCTAACCTGAGACAAGTATGAGAACACTTGCGCAAACGATTCATGCCAGCCCCAACTGAGCTCTAATTCTTAAGTCTTGGCGCCTTCCCTGAACCAATCGCTGTACCACAAATGCTGCAGGTCCTCTTTCATTGACAAGCTTCTTTTCCCGGCGCCCCAGCCAACATATGGGAAGGACTCCGGAAACGTGGTCAGGCGTGTGAAGTTTAGAATGCATGGCGGTAGGGGGATGGTAGAATCCTAGCCCTCGGATCAAGTGCACACGAAAGGGAACCCAATCAATAGGACATGCGGATAGAGTGCTTGCCAGAGCCTGTCTACTGAGGAGGTGAGAGACGGTGCAGGCTTCAGGTGGTGAACAGGCTTACATGCAACATCCAACACGTTATGGTTATTTCAGCAGAAAAGCACCGCATGTTTGCCGTATCCTAGCCTCTGTACGGGGTCGTGGAGCAGGGGGTAAGTCGTGCAAGCAGCGCTAGAACTCCTAACAGTAATGCTTTCCTTGCCTTTCTAGCAACTTGAGGGCCCCAATGTGGAGGGTCGGTCCAGATAATTCTTGAACGTAATATGACAACTGATTTAGATTTTCCCAGATTGTGGGGATGCCCTTTCGGTCCTCGCAGTTCTGGAGACTATCTCGTCTGTTCTGAACGCATATCCCCTGTGCATGTCAGATTGAGCACCTTAGACTTCCTCTTGCGCGCTATACACCTTACCATCAAGACTCTGACACGTCAACCCTCAACCCTCGGGAGCCCCATACCCCAAAAGCGACTGCATCCTCAACAGGATGCTTTCAAAAAGCCCGGCGCCCAAGTGTGCACATGAGGATGAGATGATGCTGTATTGCATACCTCGATACTTAAATGTTGTATGGCCCTACATGTTTTGAACACAGGGCATTCTGGTAGATCGCGAGGTGTACCTTTGGATCCTCAATATCGAAACCTCGGAAAGCAGCACACGATTACGGAAAGATAGGAGCCTTTGCATATGCCGCTGTAGATGCCAGCCTGATTCGACATAGAAGTCTTTTGTGTAAAGTAGTAGTTCCATCTTACAGGCGCGCAGATCATGTCGGTCACCATAAATTCTAAGCATTTGATACTCACTGGGTGTTTTCCCATCATCGCTCATTAGAGGCACCTGTGTTGGATCCCGTGGAATGAAGCTGCGCGAGCCCCAGCTGCTGAAGATTGTTGTGGGGGGATTTTTTGGCAGTTTGTCAACTGCTAGAGCAATAAGATGTCTCAAGAGCACCTCAAATGCCCGCAAGCGATGTTGTCGTTTCTGGGGTTGGGAGAGACCACCACCTGAAATTTGGCTTTTGTGTTGGATTCTGTATTAGAATTGGAATCTCTGCAGCCTTACTTTGGGAAACTCTAGCAAACGCGCCGGGCCATGGGAAGGAAGCTGAGAGTACGAAGAGCACACAGATCATGAGATGTTTTAATGTGTATCAGCGGCAGCTATCTTTAGAGGTTGGTACCCCAACAGTCGGCGCAGTCAACAAACCATAAGCCTTGAAGAGTACATCCGTGGTGCTCTGCAGTCTTACATGTCAGAAGTCGCACGAACGTTCCTGTGCATATTGTCGCTCACTGCACAGTGCTTAGATGTGCTTAGTCTACAGACTGCCCTCTGGAGAACGTGGCTGTCGTTCTCACTGCAACCGTTCCCCACATAGTTCCGTGTTTCCAGAAACCACTGAGGGAAAAGACGGTCCCGAACTCCCTCTACAACCGGACGGTCCAAGATCTCCTACCGACAATGATCTGGTTTTGAGACTCATTTTTAGATATGGCCTCGGGGGCTTTCTGCTCTGAACCTTGCGAGACGTCTCATTTCGTCAGAACAGTCGAAGAAGCGGAGTGGAAGGTCCTCAGTGCTCCCTGGATGCTTCGAGTTGTATGAGTACCCTGAATCCACTTCTATAAGTGCGTGGCCTTCAAGCTTCTTGCTCGAGTTCTGAGTTGGGTTTGAGATTAGTGTAAACAGTCTTTTGAACAGGGACGTTTGGAATCTGAACCTTAATTGCTTACAAGACACGGGCCGCATTCTTTGTATTAGGAGTGCATCTTGCTCAGCTCCGCTCTTCAGCTCCGCTCTAGGTGCTGTGAGGACAGTGGAAAGAAGATGGAACATATTATAGCACAATGGGATATATATATATAGATCACATAGGGCATGCTACACCAATAATGGAGAATCAACTGGAAAAGACAGTGGAGAGTGAATGGGAAACTGGGGTTATATAGGGGTTGCAGAACTTAAGCAGTCCCCCAACCCTAAACCCTAAACCCAAAACCCTAAACCTTAAACGCTAAACCCTAAACCCTAAACCTCAAACGCTAAAACCAAAACCCTAAATCCTAAACCTTAAATGCTTAACCCAAAACCCAAAACCTTACACCCAAAACCCTAAACCCAAAACCTTATACCATCTTATACCCTAAACCTTAAACTGTTTCCCAGGAGCCCAAGCCTACCTCAGCCTTAAGCCCCAAGCCAGCAGGTTTCTCCGGAACGTGCTGAGGATGAAAGGCAACGTGCACCACAGTGATCATTTATATGGGGTTATGTACGGGATATATGGGGTTATATAGGGGTTATATGGAGGTATAAAGGGATTATGTGGGGGTATACAGGGGTTCTATGGTGTTACAGAGGGGAAAAAAGAAAATGGAAACTACTTTTTAGAATTTGAAGTTTTGTACTTCTGAAAACGTAGAAATTTGGGGTTAATGTATTGAGGCACAACCCGGAAAATGATTCTATCAGGGCGCTCCTCTTGAGGGACTGTGTGCGAGCTAAATAAGACAATTGCAAGTCCTTTCAGGGCGGAAAGCTTGAACATATCTGCGCTAGCAATCATAAACCCCCGCGTTTAAGGGCCTTAATATTAGGATCCTTATTATAATCCCCATGCAATACCCCATTGTACTATAGTAGTTTCCAGTTTCTTTTCCATTATCCCTAGAATGGTTCCACAACGAAGCTCCCACATGAGTCCATCACCGAGCTTATGGCTTTGTTTCATGGCTCCCTTGACCTTTGCAAGGAGAGATATATGTCGCATGTGTAAAACCTCGATGCACATCACGGCCTGTTTGCACTCATTGTAGCCACCCTTGCCTCAACTTGGGAGAGGCGCAGGTGGCAAGTGCAGGCTTCCCATGGAAAGGCTCATAAGCTCATAATTCGGTCTTTTGCAAAGCACTGCGTCTGTAGCAGAAACCTTGCGGTTCAGTTGCGGTGACAAGCTCTTCCAGCAGAAGCGTCCCTTGAACCCTGACCCAACCTGGAGCCTGCCACGCCCTGCATAGGATCCATGAGTCAGCCATTCTTGCTACACTGCAGCGTCGTCCAAGAGGATCCTTGAACCTGAACCTGGTTGGTATCAACAGCGGGTCCTGCGCCGGACAGGTTTGCCGAGGGAATCCCGTGTGTTTGGTATTCCTGGCCTGATTCACGCATGGTTTGCTTGTTGTCTCAAATTAGCATCATGCTGGCCTATCAGGCAAAGATACTGTTGAGTCTATGCAGTACTTACACATGCAGAAGCTTCGTGGGTCATCGTTTTGCTTACGACGAATGGATGAGCTGCTTGCTTGGCGCTGTTGTTTTGTTGAGCGCGAGCATGTGGGGATTGTCTGCGCAAAAGTGATGCTCCTAAACCTTAAGCCCAACTTATTCACAGCCCGAGTTGAAGCTTCTTCATCATGCAGAGGTTGGTCTGCGGGCCGGGCTTTCCGAGTAGGTTCCAGTAGCTAAAAGCCGTGGTGGCCAGGAACGCCCGAGTTGCCCATAGGATTTAGAGATAATGGAGAATCACATGGAAAATGAGATGGATACCAGGGTTTTGAGGGATAATTTTATTCAGTCCCATTTTCGGTTATCTAGGCTAACAGCTCCTAGCATTTGGGAATGTGCAAAGAGGGACGCTAATTTCGATGAGCACGTTGCGACATCCTCACATCAAGCATCGTGTCCATCAAAGTACATTTAGTGTTTAGATGATCTGCACAGGCTATGATTAAAGTACAAGGACCCAGAAATTCAGTTTTTGCAGTGACGTTCATAGTACTGTTTTGGCTGTTGACGACTGATTGGGATTTGAATGCGGGTATTTGCCATTGCATGTTAGCGGTGCTGTTCAATGGTTCCCGGCGGCTGTCTTTTTTCGGACGGACATTGTAGAGGCACATGCACAGCTCAAAGCATTAAGTCCTTTCATTTGACCTAAGGCAAAATACCCTAACATACTAGTGCTTTTGTCACGGAGAAGGGTCATCCCTTGACTTGAGCATGATCAACAAATGCATTGTGTGCCCACCAGAGCCATGAGAAGATTCCGAAATACTCTAAAGATCTCTAGTGGGATCTAGTGGGCATGCGCCCGCAACAGGCTTCCCGCTCCGCGTGCTGCGGGCGTCATACTCTTTTGCCATGGCAACGCAGAGGAGTTTGGTTTCATGCTTCATGTTTTTGAGTAAGCTTCATATTAGAACAGCTATGGCCATTTCCTGTAGGGAAGACGGCTTGGGGCTTGTCCGGACTTCAGTATCTCGGGTTGAGGTTTTGGGACATGGAAGCCATGCCCTGGAGTTCAGGCTAAACCAAACACAGCCGATGTATCTTGCCATCATTATGCAGTAGTCTCCACTTGGACTAAGGGGAGTAGCGCTCATCTCTGTCTTGCATAGCTCCCTGAACACTTGTTGATTCCCTTTAGCATCTGACCTTCAAATCCATGAAAGGGCTTGGCAAGAAAGCAGACTTCGACTCGTTCCAGTGAGCGTCTGGCCGCAAAACACTGAATTCTACCTCATAGTTTCTGCGAGACTTCGCATGAATCCGGCCCCCTTGGCGCACACAACTGTCGATCGGCGTTTAATAATAACCTGTCGACTGTTCTAGATTGCGCGGGACTAAGCCTGAATCTCACTAGCTCTTTCTGATCTTGGTGCAACATTTAGTATGCCTTCCAGCATCAGACAGCGCTCGATTGTGGCAATCTAGAATTCACGCTGAGTCAATTTTCTATGTGCTGCTTCACTGGGGTAGTGGACTCTTTGTCCTTGTGCTTGGTGTCCTCTTCAGAAGATAGGTAAGAACCATAATCACATTGCTTTCCTGTTTTGAACCTGGCAAAGGCTCACAACATCTCCACATAATTAGCCGCAAAACTCTGATTGTTCCTGAGCTCCACATCCAGAGCGGAACATTGTGACACAAGCCAGGCTTTCAAGGCAGTGGTCGCATCTTTGTGGGAGTCAGACCTGCTGAACAGTAATGGGCTTGGTATATGATCTGTCCAGTATTCTGGTATTGCTGCCAAGGTCTTCTGACTAGTTTTGACTATGGGGATATCACTCCTGACTGATGTGCAGAACCGGTATCGGGGGTTGTGTTCCTAGATTGCATGCAACAAGCCTACCAGTCTTGATCCTAAATCGTTCATTTTCACCTTGTTTGGATATGAGACTACGGCTTTGGACAACGCCCCCTTTTGACCGAAAGAAAGTCCAGGGAGACAAGGCCTTCAATGATCTAAGATGACCTTTTCCGCTTTGCTTTATTCGGCTCTGAGCCACTATCCATATTGGACTTAGCAAGCGACCATCAAGGGTGGACATAGGGGTCCTTTTGGTAGTTTAGTATAGCCCTAATAAACTCCGAATTTGAACCCATGTCCATTAATCATCTGGGACATATCGACTGTAGCTGGTTTAATTAGCCGTTCCCAGTCTAGTACCTTGCATTTTTGCATGAGTGAACAACCGGGGACGCTTTCTGAGCATGGGTATCCCACCTCGCACTTAACCTCCCACCAAATCCAGGATGATTGAAGATAATCGCGGCTCAGCATCGTGTTGTTAACCCACGACGCAAGCCCCAAAAGTCCTCCTTTGGGCCCAGATTGCTCTCTGGTGCATGGCCAGATGCTGCAGGCGTTCAGCTTGAGCCATAGCGCGCAGTCAGATTCCAAAGTCAGACACTCAAAGTTGACCAGTTAAGGACTTGAACAACAAACAACAGCCAACGCGCATCAAACAACACACATGTTGAGGATGAATTTCCGATATACCTACAGTGCCAGCCTATGGAAGATGGCAGTATGGAAGACTGTAAGGTCATCATCTCAACTGAATCTGAAACTTTTATCTCTTCAAGTTGGCCCTTAACCCTGCTTCAAAGGGACCCTAGGAGCCCCCCTCGAATTGAATCCACATCTCGACCTTCGGACAAATTTGCTCCAGCTAGTTGGGCTCTTTAAAGTCCTGCACCGCAATCTCCACACCTCAACCCAGTATTGTGTACTCCCGCTGAACCCTTACAGGCATTTTATATGCATATACATATATATGTATATCTCTACACGCACCCCAGAACCCTCAATGCTTAGTAAAGGGCACTGCCTTGCAAGCTTGGAGCTATGGTGGAGCCGCTGCCGGCGAGGCAGGTGGCTCTGCTGGAGGCCGAGGGTTTGAAGAGAGTCGGCTTTTTTCGGCTCGCACGTTGGATGGGGGAATTCTTGCAGAAACCTTTGCAACGCTACATTAATTAGGGACTACAAATAGTACTAAGCTTCAATCAGCAGTAGGAAGGACGTGGGGACCAGAAGGAATGTCAGTGGTTTAGGGTCAAGACGCTCTGGAGGTGGCGGGTTTCGAGTTTTGCGACTAAGCGCACCTTTGTTGGATTCTAGACGTTCTCAGGTTGATGCGGGCGTTGTGGGAATGATGGATGGTCCGGGGTGTTGAATTCAGATCTTTGTTCGCAGGAATGCCGGGGTGCCATCTCAGAAATCATGATGGCTGCTTCGGAGTTAAGGCCTGATTGGAGGCGAGTTTAGACGTTTAGGGTTTGGTTTTGGTGCGACAGACCGCAGTAGGCTCACTTGTCTGAGGCTTTGGGCAGGGGATGTGTGGAGATTGGAGCCTGTCCCAGACCCTGTGGGATACCAGACCACCTACAGGTATGCTTCAGAATTTGCAGACTCAACCGCGGCATGACAACTGTCAGGACATTCTGCCTTACCTTCTCTTTGAGCTGGCATAAGATGCCCCATCTGTCGAAAATCACAATTGAAACAAGGTAGGTAGTCCCCGATAGCCCCGCATCGCCCGCAATAATGCATATTCCCCACCCGTGAAATGTTTGTTATTACTAGGGGTGGTGGTTGCGGGCCTTACCATGGGGGGTAGAGTAGGAGGTCCAAGGACCTCGCTGGGCTGGTCTGTATATTGGACTTGCCATTCGCGGAGTGGAGTCTCCTTCGAGGGTTTCGGGACTAGTCTCTTCTCATCATACTCATCCAGGCGAGTCGCCGATTAGATGCTCGGACCTAAGTGCTCCTCAAGTTCAACAAGCTTCAACTTGAGCAAGGTCCAAGCCCCCAAACAACAGGCAAGTTGAGATCATCCGAGCAAGGAAGAGAAACAAAGTCTGACAAACTGGGGTAACTTTAGTAGACCTGTTGTGTGGTGTAGCCCAGGACCCTGAATGTTACTGCACGTTTCCCTATAATCCTTAACCCGCGCTAGTTCCAGATTTTGAAACTCCAGTGAAACTTCTGTATTATAACCAAAGACGCGGCGAGGAGCTCGCCGCAATCTACGAGGAGGCCGTTAATGTGGAAAGGTCTTTCCCCTAAGATTCTATGTCCCGCTAATGTGGAAAGTTCTTTCCTCTGAGGTTCCATGTTCTACAACAAGTCTGTAAGGGGATTTCCCCACATTATGGGCACCATTTGGGGGTCACATAATAAGGCTTACAGTATTCTAGAGTCTATATTAGGGTCGCCCTGTTCAGGGAAACTGCCATAACCAGGCGAAGATAACCTTCCCCAAATGGCTTGTTCTGGGCAAGCCTGATTAGGGCGAGCCTGGGTGGGGTGGTGGCATGGGTGGCTCGAGGGGATTCAGCAGGAGCAGGGCTTGGCTATGCTACGTGCCTCTAAGGACTACAGTAGGCAGACTGAAAATGTTAGCCTGTAGTTTGGCATCACAGTTTAACCTTGCCAAGGCTAGATTGCGCAACAGGATCCGCATCAAAGCTGCCTCAATGAAAGCTTAAGTCTTCAGGTCCCAAAGCTTCCCAGAAAGTCACACAAGGCCCTTAGGCACGAGCTTGCAATCCTACTCGAGCACGCCTAAGTCTGCCCCTTTTCCAGGCTCAAAGATTGCCACGGGGCAAGACAGATACTCACGTTTTGGGGTGAAGGCATTGGCCACCGCAAGAAGTCAAGAAGTCCTAATGGTCCTAACCTAACCACATGAATCATTCGCGGATGCGGCCTTCTGCTTGCAAGGCTCTCTGGCTCAGGCATCCCAGAACCACAAGCCACCGCAAACCCCAAAACCGCAACCCCTCAACGAACGAAGGGTCAGCCTTTTCAGTTGCGATCAGCCAGCTTGGAGGCTTCGATCTTGACGTGTTTTTCTCGTAACAGAAGAAAAGTCGAAGCGCTAGGGGTCCTTATCTTTCCACTGAACACTTGCACCTGTAAGCCCTATACATTTACATCGTATACCTAAGGCTTGAAAGCCTGACCCTGAATGCCATCCCTCCTGAAACCCCTGCTGCTCACGCAAGTCATAGGTAAACTCAATCAAGGGAATGTCTTGGCATGAATAGGATTGTTCTGACCGTTGGCTGTGCACTAGGCCCTTGCGCAACCTGCGGCCATCCGCGATGACTTCACCTTTGCCGAGGCATTTCTGACTGGACAGAAACAAGAGCAATTACAGGTTTGAAAGAAGCTACTGTTACCGAAATCTTGAAACTGTAAAGTAAAACAAATAGTAGCAATCACGAAATAGGGGAGGGCCTGCTGCTGCTGCTGCTGCTGCTGCTGCTGCTGCTGCTGCTACCACTTCAATGTGCACAACTGTGTCTACACGTTTGGTAGCTGGTGCTCGCATGACAGGACAAGTGCACACTTCTTTATCTTTTGCTTACTAAACCCTAAGCCCGAAGCCCTAAACCCTACACCTTAAACCGCGGCAAGCTAGCCGTTGTTGTGTTCGCAGGCCATACACAAGCGGCACACTGCAAAGGAGGCTCCGAGATTATGCGCAAGCTATACGCGGTGCAACCAGAGTTGAGTGTAGGCTTGGATCATCTTGCGACATGGCCGACATGGCCCCCTGAAAGTACTACACACCTAGCTGCAGCCCATCCCTGGTGGTTTCTGTAAGCCTCAAGCAAGCTTTTTCTTCTTCAGAAGGACGCTCATGGTAGGTCTAGGCTTGAGGATCTCCCAGGCAAGGTCACTTCTCAGCTTTTTCGACTCCTTTGGCTGCAAGTCCTACATGACGCAATGCGGACTGAAACCCGACACCTCCTAGTGGTAAGTGTGCCCATATTCTTCCTTCTGGTGCTATCTGGTGCTATGTAGGGATCCACTTTACAGCTGATTGGGCAAAATGTTTTGACCTCTGGGAAAGGTATGTGC